CACTAATGTTGCCTTCCCATGAGTATTTGTAAACCAGCTATCAACCGAACTTACGAGGATTAATTATAATGGAGTTGAAATACCCGGAAATTCACAGACATATGTGAATACCTATCTTAAAATGATCATTTTACAAACTTCAGGATTGGTCATTACAATAAACAGCTGCAAATCATCATCAAAAACAGAATTAGAGAAGAATGAGCGCATTGCAACAACCTCAACAGATGGACTCGTCTACGTCACGAACCTCAAACGATTCGTCGATGGCGTTAAGAAATTGGGAATTGGCAAATGATGTGCAATTATGTGAAACCATTTATCAATACAATGCCGAGGAACAGCAGTTGATTAGAGCCGTAAGACCATGGGAGAAGGATCCACATTACTTTAAGGTATATTTGTTATTATTGGCGATATTGAAGAGTTCTGTCGTTATCAGTTGTAGGTATTCAAATCTTGTGTGGAATAATTTTGTAAAAGTGTTAAGAATACAACTGATAATGTTACTTTTTTAAAAAGAATTTTGATGATTCGGCAATGTTTTTAGAATATTTAAAAACTTGCACTGAGAAATTGAAGTCAAGAATGCAAATGAGCCGGTCTGAACATTTTATTTTATGAATTCTAAAGCATATTTGAATCAAATTCATTAGTGTATTATGACCTTTGATAGCCATAATTATGGTGATTGTAAAAACAATAATAATAATAATAATAAAGATAAAACCAAAACGAAAATGACGACACCACCAACAATAATAACAATACTAATGATAGCTGCAATCAAAATAAAATGCAGGAAGTAAAAATCTCGACGTTGGCGCTACTGAAGATGGTGATGCATGCACGGAGTGGTGGTAATCTGGAGATAATGGGACTGCTTCAAGGCAAAGTCGACGTGAATACACTGATCGTCATGGACAGTTTCGCGTTACCGGTTGAGGGAACTGAAACACGTGTGAATGCTCAGGCTCAGGCTTATGAATATATGAGTACCTATAGTGAGAGTTGTGAGGCAATCGGCAGGTTAGATAAGGTGCGCACCTCTGTTCTCTTTTTTAGTGTTGTGTATATTGTTTGTGTGGTAATCATACTAAATAGTGATAGTAATAATAATAGGTAATTTAGGTGGTTGGATGGTACCACAGTCATCCGGGTTACGGTTGCTGGTTGAGTGGAATTGATGTATCGACGCAAGCGTTGAATCAGCAATTTCAAGAGCCTTTTGTAGCTATTGTTGTGAGTTTTTCTTTGTTGTTATCCAGGATGAATAATAATCACATAATTATTATAGGACTAATGAAAATAATAAGTGTTGCAGATAGATCCAATCAGAACAATGTCTGCGGGTAAGGTGGATCTAGGTGCCTTTCGAACCTATCCAAAAGGCTATAAACCAGCTGATGACGAACCATCAGAATATCAGTCGATACCGTTCAATAAAATCGAAGATTTTGGAGTGCATTGCAAACAGGTCGGCATTCTATTGTATCAATAGCAATAATAATGAGGAGTAGGATTCGTACAATAGGAAATAATGCATGAAACAACGGTAATGCAGATTACAATGGGTGCATGTTTTTTAGTACTATTCTCTGGATGTGAGTTACTTCAAATCGTCGCTGGATGCCAGATTGCTGGACTTATTGTGGAATACGTATTGGGTTAGCACATTGTCAAGTACGCCCTTACTCAGCAACGCTTCGTATATTAATTCACAATTGTGTGATTTAGCTCATAAGTTGCAATCCGTAAGTTTTGGTTTCATTATTACTATTNTTATTGTTATTATTATTTTTTATTGTTCATTCCTGCTATGGTGTAAATTTGAAAAAGTGTCAATTAAGATCAGTGGAAAAGGGCGTTCAATTCAATCCGAGCAGTGCTTTGATGCAATTTCAACTGAACGATTGACCAAAGCTGTGAAAGATGCAAAAAAGGTTTCGAAATTCTTAAATTTGTGATAATGTTTGTGACAGTGTTATGAAAATGTAAATTTCAATCAAAATCCTTTTAAATTGCTGGTCTTTCGTGATATGTTCTGATGAAAGTATTCATATTTTCATATGAAGTTGGTGGTTAAACATGATTTTACAAACAGAAAATTTTTCATTTGATATAATTTTTGATGTTGAATTGCGTATTTCAGTTGAGTTCTGAGGTGACACATGGGCTGATAGCTCAAATGATCAAGAGTATGTTGTTCAATCGAGACATCGCTCAAACAGACGTGATACCTTCATCGCAACATTGATTAATATTAATTTTATTATTGAATATTATCAAAATTGATGCGTGTAATTATTCATTTGAATCAATTTATTCATTTCTATTAACGAAATAACTTCTTGCATAGTGGAGTTCAGTTGAAATTGTGAGTTAGTTCTCTAGGAATTTATCAATATTTTATACTGCAGCGATCTTGAGATTCACGAGATACTTATGTCGATATCAAGTTTTTATGAAGAAAATTTTGAATCGCAGCTGAACTGCATCAACAGGTTCATTGATTTCTTTGATAGTGACAATATTTTGACGATGGAAGTACAACTTTCATAGAGGGTACTGTGTTCATATGTATTTTATTCATTCATAGCATTCTTTTCCAGTGTTATTTGCTCGTTTTACGTTGTTCCATAATAATGTTCATTATTAATGTCGTTTGTTTCATATGAAATATTGCTTGACGATAAAAACTTATTATTGTTTTGTCCATATTTTTTGATGTCGTTTTGTTTTGAGTTGAATAGGGTTGTTTCTGAGCTGGGGGTGTTCCCAATTTGCATGTTTCTTGTTGAATAGTCTGAAGAAATATCAGGATCTGCTCTTTTGATAACAAGATGTCAATATTCCATAAGTGGTTGGTTATTTGTTCATTATTCAGCTGTCAGCATTCATTAAGAATAAAAGCATCTTTAATAACATCACAAATGTCACTCTTTATTAGTGTTCATCAGGGAACGAGTACCCCACTCGCAGCTTCCTGACGAACACTAATAGACAATGATACTTGTGATATCGTGTTCCTTCCCCCC